GTGATTCAGCAGAGAAAGGCGTTTGACAACAAAGCCTGGTGACTTGAGTTTGGGAACCTGGAAATCATATTAAAGCCACAGGCAATGGCATCTCTAATCCCAGCACCCCTAAAGTGAGAAGGAAGACAGAGCCTGGAGAATCCCCTAGAGACCATCACAGTGACAGAAAGAACGCGGGCCATGTTTAAACAGGAAGGCAAGGACTGCACTCCAGTGTCTACTGTGGCATTTTTCACTCCAGCCAAGACAAAGAAACAAAGTAAGTGTCCTCAGTGGATGAACTGGTAAAGAACTTGTGGTGTGTGTGTGTGTGTGTGTGTGTGTGTGTGTGTGACATAATACTGTTCAGACTTTAAAAAGATGTGGGCAAAAGAACAGAGAAAGGGTACAGAGACGCAAGTGTGCAGGGTAAGTCCGGTACCCGATGCTTGGCACGAGGGCTACTGTTACTACTTTGTGTGCTAGAAATCTGCTAAGGCACTAGGTTTAAAGTGTCTCGAGATGATGGGCACATCCATGTACCACAGCAGGCAATTCACTGTGTACACTGAAGCATCATGTTGTTTACGGTAAACACACAAAAGTTTTAAGAACCAAATTGGTCTGTGCAGTATCTATCAAAAACCTAGCTTCCTGCCTTCCCTTAAAAAAAAAAAAAAAACAGAAATTGACAATATGATCCTAAAATCCTTATGAAGAGGTAAAGGACATAAAATAGCTAACACAAGTTAGAAAAGAACAAATTTAGAGAATCCCATTTCCAATTTCGGAACAGTCTGTTACTATGTAAGGCTAGGCCAATGTATCAATGAACAGAACTGAGAGCTCAAGAATAAAAATGCACATATGTGATCAATTTGTTCATAACAGGAGCCCACGATCACTCAATAGGGAAACTGTCTTTTCAGTACACTGCTGAGACAACCAGATCATAACAAGCAGGAAGCGATACTCCGACGTCTCAGCGTAGCCAAGATTGCTTCAATGAATGATCCTCCTGGCATAAAAGTTAAACCTAGGTCTTGAGTTGAACAGTAATTTCCTGGATTTGCACCAAGATGATAACAAAAAAAAATAAATTACATTCTACCAAAATTAAAACCTTTTGTACTTCAAGAACAGCACCAAGAGAAATGGGAAGACAACTTGCAGAGTAGGAACGAGCACCATCTGAAAGGATGCTCGATACTATTAGTCATTAGGGAAATGCAACCTCAACAGACAGCACTTCACACCCACAGCGTGGCTAGAATCAAGTCAGCCCATACCACGAGTGGGCGAGGATGTGGGAACTTGGAATCCTCCGGCACCGCTGATGGGGGTAGGCTGTGGAGCAGTAACTCGGAAAACTACCCAGTCGCTCCTCAGAATGGCACACGTAGACTAGCCAAAAGGCCCAGCGGCTCCATTCAAACACACCCCTGAAGAGGAGTGAGAGCTTGCACACACACAACTTGATAGCGGAATGTTCCTGGCACACGTTTTCATACCCGCCCAAATCAGAAACAACTCCAATGTACGTGTGGAGTATTGATACTCTGAACTATGACTTGGTGACGCATGTCTACATTTATATGAGATACCCACAATAAACAAATCCATACTGGAGAAAGGAAGATCAGATCAGTGTTGATTAGGGGTGATGGGAGGTGACCAGTGGGTGCTAAAGGGTGTGAGATTTCTTTAAGAAGTTATGCAAATCATCTTGTCCTCCTTGGTTTTAACTGTCAACTTGACAACCTAGGGTTACCTGAGAGGGGAAGTCTCAGTTGAGGGATTTCCCAGGGCAGAGGGCCTGTGAGCATGTCTATGGGAAGATTGTCTGTACTAATAATTGATATAGATGTTTCCAGGCCCCTGTGGGCAGCACCATTCCCAGGCAGGTGGTTCTGGGATGTATAAAGAATCTAATTAATCAGGAATCTGCCCACCAGCAAGTAAGACACCTTCTACCATGGTTTCTGCTTTTTGAGTTTCTTCTTTGCCTTCCCTCAATGATGAACTATGACCTGGAAGTGTAAGCTAAATAAATATTTTCTCCCTAAGTTACTTTCATTCAAAGTGTTTTAGCAGAGCTAGAAAAGACCTAAATTTATATAGTTTTCTTAGTGGCAAAATTCCGTGGCTATAGTTAAGGACTAAATTTTACAGCTTCAAGTGAATTTTATGGTATGTGAATCATACTTCAATAAAAATATTTGAAATAGTAAAGATTATCAGATTAGCTTTTTAAAAATACAGTTACAAAATGCAATAAACACAAGCATGTTGAAAGTAAATAGATTAAAAATAGATGCTACACTAACATTCAACCAAGGAGTACAAGATTAGCTCTGAAGGTAGATTTCCAGGCAGGAAACACTGCTAGAGGCAAAGAGAAACATTTCTCAATGGACAGTGATAGATCAATTCAGAAAGACGTAACAAAACTACGTTTGGATGATTTTAATAACATAGATTCAAAATATATAAAACAGAAGGTAAAAGGGCTCTGAAATGAATTGTGGGAAAGTTCTTTCATAGTGAGCAGCGTCAGTAAGACTGGTAGCGAAGGCCAGTAAAGAACACAGATCATTTTGGCAAGTGCACTACCAAGCCCTCTTCAATGACATGAAAACAATCATGATCTTCGATGGCACAAAGAATGCATTTCATTCTCTAGGGCATCCCTTTGGGGATGGAACTAGGAGCAGACAGCACTATAAAGGCCACCCATGGCAATTGACTTCTACTCAATGGATCTTAGATCAGGCATTTGCAGTCCTTCCTGAGGAGTAGGCTGAATCCATCAATTCTGTTTTGTAGGTGGACAAGTGATAGCTAATTGTAATTTTATGTGTCTTCTTGTCTGGGCCATGAGATCTGAGAGCCGCCTAGATGTTGTTTGTTGGTGTGTCTGAGAGAGTTGGACCATAAGTAATTTAGCCCTTGAATCGGTGGACTGGGTAAGGAGATGGCCTTTCCGCTGTGCAGGTGGACATTGTGCATAGAACAAAATAACAGAGGACGGCTAAATGACCTCCACTGAGCTGAGCTGAAGCGTCCACCTGCTGATTCTCCTGCCTTCAGATTCACATTAAGGCCAACAACATTGGCTCTCCAGCTCTCGGGGGTTTTGAACTTTCCACCAGTTTTTCTGGGTCACCATGGCTGGTCTCCAGCACTGTATGAGCCAATATCTTATAGTAAATACCTTTCTCAGATATAGATTATAGATAGTTGATAACTTATTGATTATGTTTCCCTGGAGAACCTTCACTAATATAGAGGAGTTGACTGCTCTACTTTGAAGACACAGGCTATATAAGAAAGAAGAGATCTAGGCTCTGACAGCCAGGAAATCGGGGACAGCCACTCAGGCTGCCACCCTGCTTGGGTCTTTGGGGATGAGGTCACCAGCAGCCTGACTCTTGACTCAGGACCATCCGATCTAATCAAAGAGCATCTAGATACTGGAAATGAAAGGTCCTAGTAGGTGGCTGACAAGTTGATGGCAGGGCTCAATCAAGAGGAAGCTAGGCAGCCGGGCGGTGGTGGCGCACGCCTTTAATCCCAGCACTCGGGAGGCAGAGGCAGGTGGATCTCTGTGAGTTCGAGACCAGCCTGGTCTACAAGAGCTAGTTCCAGGACAGGCTCCAAAAAAAACCACAGAGAAACCCTGTCTCGAAAAACCAAAAAAAAAAAAAAAAAAAAAAAAAGAGGAAGCTAGGCAAAGAGGCACCATGGGAACAGGAGCAGCAGCAGCGAGTTCCTGGGAGATCTCTGTGCACATCTGGATCTGAGGCTTGCGCTTGTCCATCATTCCACCTGCCAGGGTCCAAAGTGAGGATAGCAGAATGACTGTAACCTCAGAAGGTGGTAACCTGGGTCCACAATCCATGACCATAGGCAGACTAGTTAACCCCTCTTTGCCTTTATTTCCTTAGCAACAAAGTGAGACCATTTATATAAATCTATAAAGTTTCCCTGAAAAGCAATGGGGTGGTGTGAGGAGAAAGTCTGTGAGGGTCTGGTGAGTAGTGAGACCCCAAGAAGCACTCGCTGTTGCTCTGAATGCCAGCATCCTTCTCTCCAATTGCTGACTGGAACACACTGAAACGTCAGGTGTGGCACTGTGAACATATAGTCTAATGACTGATCAGTAGTGGCTATTCATTGAGAAGAATTCCAAGAACTCCTTTGTGCTCACGCCCTGAGTGCCGTGGAACACATTGGCAACGTTTGTTAAAACCCCCGATGGTCGCAGGCATATATGCACCCTCTCCCTTTGGCCTGTATTGTACAACTACCTAATAAATACTGATTCAGCAATCTTCCCATTCCACGTTTCTATGACAGCACCTATAAACAAACCCTCCAAAAGGACTAAGTCAACAGCACATAGGTCCTTTTTTAAATATATTGAAAGTAGGCACAGCCTCTTGTTGGATGTGAGCTCGGTAGAAAATTTCCCTGTGCTCATCCTTGATGTCTCTGCCCCATTGATACCTGCAGTGGGCTCTTCACAAGCAGAGACATACTGCATCTTCTGCAGCTAGAGCTACCAAAGCAGAGCCGTGTGGTGCAAGAGGTTGACACACATGAGAGCCTAGCACAGTAGAAAAGGCCCAGAGTCCACAGGCCTAGTGCCAGCTTGGGCAGAAGCCCACAGTGGGACCCTTGGGGGAGGGGGTGGGGTTGCAGTGCCGGTGACTTTTCGGAGACCTGGCTTTCTGAATTGTGTGAAAAAGTAAGACCCACGCCGTTGTGCTATGCTGTTGTAAGGGTGCGTCTTTCCTAGCTATAGTAGTTTTGGAAGGAGAAGTTTGAGAGATGCACACTGTAAGATACTCGACTTGATTTTAGATGGCTTCCATGTTTTCCTAGACTGACGGGTGGTGAGATGGCCCTCCATCCTCCATTCCTACTGAGGACAAGATTTCAACAATGAGAAACTAAAACTTAGGACCACAGTGGGAGAAGCAGCACTATAGCTGCCTGCAGCCCCAACCTGGGAGGAAGATGCTAATTAAAGTGAAGACGCTGACTGGAAAGGAGATTGAGATCGACATTGAACCCACAGACAAGGTGGAGCGAATCAAGGAACGTGTAGAAGAGAAAGAGGGCATCCCCGCACCACAGCAGAGGCTCATCTACAGTGGCAAACAAATGAATGATGAGAAGACAGCAGCTGATTACAAGATCCTAGGTGGTTCAGTCCTCCACCTAGTGTTGGCTCTTAGAGGAGGAGGTGGTCTTGGGCAGTGATGAACCTCGGTTCCATTTTACCTCCTTGCCCTGTCGCTCATAATGAAGCATCACATATCCTCTCACGCTCTGGGACACCAGAACTTCTGCCCCCTCCCTTGGATGCCCAGTCTTGTGTGTCTACTGGTGGGAGAATGTGAGGACACCAGGGTGCAGTGCTCCTGCCCCAAATGACCATTACTGGCTGTTGGGTTTTAGTTTGCAGTCCTGTGTGCTTCCCTCTCTTATGGCTATAACTTTGGTTGTCAATAAAATATTTCCTGGCAAAAAAAAAAAAAAGAAACTAAAACTTAGCCGAATCAAAGCTGAGACTGGATGGCAGGAAGGATGGCACAGCAAGCTACCCTGAGACACAGATTAGGGGGAGAATCTGCTCCATGTTCAAAGCGAAATCTCTCCCTTCTCTCCTTGTGACAAACACATGAACTCACATGTACCAACTCCCAACCACTGAACCAAAGTCAGACATTAGTAACATAAAATAATACACTTCAGCAGACCTGGACGATGAGACAACCATTGCCTTTGCCACCATGAAAGGTAACTGAGTACACGTGACCAGACAACTTTTGCTATGTTGTATAAACAGCAACATTGTATGTTTTAGTAATGTGGCAAACATACGAGAAAGGCAACAATATACAATTTCTCTCATGAAGAGCTACTTATGAGTGTGAATTTGTACCTTGTTTCTCATAGACAACACTACAACCAAGAATTCAGTCAAGTTCCTAAAAGTGGTTACCAATAACCACAGGCTCATCTCATCCAAGGGAGGTGTCCTTTTCCAATGTGATCTCTGTGGGGCGGTCACTGTTGTAATTAGGGAGTAGCGGGGACCCCAGCCACCTGGCTAGCTCATACCCCAAAATAATTACACGGACACTGTATTCTTTTAGACACTGCTTGGCCCATTTCTATCTAGCCTCTTCTAGGCTAACTTTCGCACCTGGACTAGCCCATTTCTAATATTCTATGTAGCACAGCTAGGTGCGTTTACCGGGAAGATTCTAGCCTACATCAATCCTGGGTCGGAGCTTCATTGCGTGTGTCTGCCCAGGTGCAGGGAGCATGGCGTCTCTCTCTGAGGCGTCTGCCCCCGAGAGGAGAGCTGTGGAGTCTCTGCTCACTTCCTCTTCCTCCCAGCAGTCTGTTCTGTTTACTCCTCCCACCTATGTTTTAACCTATGAGGGCCAGCCAAGCAGTTTCTTTATTTTTTTAACCAATGACCTTCCTCCATTATTTCCCCTTTTTCTGTTTAAACAAAAAGGAAAGGCTTTAACTTTAACATAGCAAAATTACATATAACAAAACAGTTATCAAGTAAAAATTACAATAATCTTTATCATAACTAAGGAAAACTATAACTATAACTAACTATTCTTAACTCCATCAAAGACTCCAGAAAGATACAATATTACCTAAGCAAACAAGAAAAAAGCAACTTTTAAAACTCTAGAAATGACAGAGACAACTCGCTGCCTGGACAGTCACCCAAAGTTCCTCTGTACCGTTGGGGCATCCATCTTCAGCCTTCAGGCCCATAGTATCCAGAGACATTTCCATGAAGCAGGACATTTCAAAGTCAGTTCAGTCACTATCTGTTGTGTCCTGAAGAATGTCTTGCAGACTCTTTCATGAATCAGGAACCCCAAAAGATCATCTCACCTTAGGCAAGTTCAGTAGTCCTCTCTCTGTGGGTTCTCTGTGTCCAGTTTATGCAATAGTCCAGGCAAGAGCAGTTTCTTGCCCAAATGGCTATCAAACTCCATAAGGTGCCTCTTCGATGCCCATCTTCTTCTTAAAGTAGATTGGTGCTGCCAGGAGCAGACGTGTCTCATTGTCATGAAAAGCCCTAAATTATTAAAACATTTAAAATGCCATATTCTATAATCTTTGAAAAATATGAAGAATGCCTATCTAAAATATATCTATGTACATCTAGAAAATCTTAACTAACATGACTATAAACTTGACTATTATGATTATCTATTAACAATCTATATTTCTAATTATACATTACATTTTTAATTGAACTACACAATCACAGTACCAAATCAAGATCAGAAACACATATACGTATAACAAAATTGACCTTAAATTTAAATCACTAAAACAAAATCCATATCAATGTAAATTATTCATATCTCTATCATATCCCCCTTTAAATGTAAAAGAACGTTTATAAACCATATTTGGGAACATGGGCGCAGTTTTTTCTCTCCAAACTGCTTCCTGCTGAATGGGGGCGTCATTAATTAGGTCTTTCATGGTATAACCTGTGTACTAGTTTCATCTCAGTTGTCAGTTGAGTGAAGCAATTTTCTGAAGATGTTCAGAGCAACCCTTCAGGAGGACGTGGTCCATCATACCATATCGAAATAGAAGAAATGAACAGCGAGAGTTAGCCTAGAAGAGGCCTAGATAGAGATGGGCCAAGCAGTTTCTTTATTTTTTTAACCAATGACCTTCCTCCATTAGGTCACCTCCCTGTGTGTGGTGGTTTCTTCCAGCCCTTCTCCCTAGAAACAGATTAGGAGAGCCAGTTAGGAGTCAGAAGAGCACTGGACCACATCTGCCGGAGCGTGGAGTTGTAGATGCAAAACTGTTTTTAACCCATCACAATGGCATGATTCATTTGTTTTAAGTTCCAGAGCCACCCTCTTCCCCGCTGGGTCATCCTCTTCCCCGCTGGGCCACCCTCTTCCCCGCTGGGCCACCCTCTTCCCCACTGGGTCACTCTCTTCCCCACTGGGTCACCCTCTTCCCCGCTGGGCCACCCTCTTCCCCGCTGGGCCACCCTCTTCCCCACTGGGTCACTCTCTTCCCCACTGGGTCATCCTCTTCCCTGCTGGGCCACCCTCTTCCCTGCTGGGTCATCCTCTTCCCTGCTGGGTCACTCTCTTCCCCACTGGGTCACCTTCTTCCCCACTGGGCCACCCTCTTCCCCGCTGGACCATCCCGCTAGCCCACTAAACTTGTTCTTTGAAGTCTCTTTCTGTCTGTATCTGTTCAGCTCCCCTTTCCTCACTTTTGTCAAAGTCAACTGTACCAAAATGCCACTTCATAGAACTCCAGCATCGCAGCTGTCATACTTGGGTGTCCACCAACTTATCATCCTGGCTCAAGCATTCTGTAGATTCCGATGTCACCCTCCAAAGATGACTACCTTGTTTATACACCCGCTCACAGAAGGGACTATATGGAGGGAAAAAACATCATTAAAGGAAGCTAAGAAACTAGAAATTTGTTTCCATACTGAGAGGCTAAGAGAGGAAATGACAAATAAAATATCCAAATGCCAGCCTTCTTACTCACTTAAACCTCTGCCAGCAGGCTGGCTAGGAAAATGCCAGATAGGGGTTTCTGTGAGCTTTCCTTTAGGAAATGGGACATTTGCCATCTTTGCCCAATCTCGTTTCTCTGTTTAGTCTTTGAAATCAGGTGCAGCCCAGGCTGGTCTGAAGCTCATGATCCTCCTGCCTCAGCCTCCTGTGTGTTGGGAGTTCAAGATTGTTCTGTGCAATGCCTGGTTCTGACTTGTACCTTGACTGAGAAGGGCACAGCAGATATGATAGGTATCTTATGTTTGTGTTTTTCTCATGGTGACCAAATAACTAGCATGAAACGAATCAAAAGAAGTAAGATTTATTTTGGCTGATGATCTGGAGGTATAGAGTCTATCACGGCAGGGTAGGTGTGAGGTCACATCGTATCCTCAGTCAGGAAGTGTGCCACCAGAGGGTGCCCATGGAGACCTGGAGGGTGTCAGATATCTAGAGCGAGAGTTACATGGCTCCTAGGAATGCAATCCAGGTCCTCTGGGAGAACAGCAAATGTTCTTAGCCACTGAGCCATCTCTCTAAGCCAGGGAACACAGTGCAAATAGAGGAGAGGCCAGAAGACCTCCAAGTCCCACCCCGTAATCTATTTTCTACAGTGAGGTACCACTTCTCCTTCCTCTTCTTGAAAATTGATTCTTCTCTCATATATTATATCTTGACCTCAGTTTTCCCTCCCTCCACTCCTCTAAGCTCCTCTGCACTTCCCCACTCCCCCAGATTCGCTCCCCCCTCCATTTCCCTTCAGAAAAGAATAGGCCCCCAAGAGACAACAGCCAAACACAATAAAATGGGATACAATAAGACATAATTGCAAAACCCTCATATCAACGCTGGGCAAGGCAACCCAAAAGGTGGAAAAGATTCCCAACAGCAGGCAAAAGAGCCAGAGATGCCTGCACTCCCTCTGTTAGGAGGCTCACAAAACACCAGCTAACAGTCGTAGCATGTACACAGGGGACCTGGCACAGACCTAAGCAGGCCCCCATATTTGCCACTTCAATCTCTGTGAGCCCATATGAGCCCTGCTTAGTTGATTCAGTGGGGCATGCTCTCCTGGTGTCCTCCATCCCCTAGGACTCCTGTAACCTTCCTTACCCCTCTTCCATGAGATTCCCTGAGCTCCAAGGTGAGAGACCCAGTGCAGACCTCCAATTTAGACTCTCCAGCTGTAAGTCTCTGCACCTATCAGCTTCTGAAGGAAGTTCCTTTAACCTGAAGCCAATGCTGTGACAGCACCACCACCTCCATCACCACCACCTCCATCACCACCACCTCTACCACCACCACCTCCACCACCATCACCACCACCATCACCACCACCTCCACCACCACCATCACCTCCACCACCATCACCACCACCATCACCACCACCTCCACCACCACCACCACCTCCATCACCACCACCTCCACCACCATCACCACCACCATCACTACCACCTCCACCACCACCACCACCTCCACCACCACCACCTCCACCACCACCACCACCACCTCCACCACCATCACCACCACCATCACCACCTCCATCACCACCACCACCACCACCACCATCACCTCCACCACCACCATCACCACCTCCATCACCACCACCTCCACCATCACCATCATCACCACCTCCACCACCACCTCTACCACCACTACCACCACCACCAAGCTGCCAAGTGAGATGCCAGGATGTGGTTTCTGCCTTCAAACCCTAATTCTCTGGACACTCAAGGATGTACATAGGTCCCCCAAATACCTGCATGTAGTTGGAATAAATTCATTCAGTGAGCTACAAACTATGCCTGAATGGTATACTGGCCAACTCCAAAAAAC